ATAATAATAAAAAAAATATATATAAATATATCATATATTTCAGTCACGTCCAATAATTCTAACTTTTATTTTATATTAGTCATGGACGTGATGATTGTATAAAAATTAATAATTGTTATTTATATTTTTGTGTTCTTATTAATTATTTAAATATTTTTTTGCATATAAAGGAGAAGAAAAAAAACTTAAGTAATCATAAAATAAAATGAATTATTTAAATTTATAGATTAAAAATAGGTAAAAATGATGAGCGCGAATGCAATATTGTTAGATAAAAAAATTATAATATCTATCAAATTAATCAAATTTTACAATTTAAATTATTCTAAAATTTTCTATATCCTGACCACCTTTTTTTCACCAAAAATCAAAAAATAGAAGCTTTTAATTTTCAGAATCAGAAATAGTAAAAAAAAAAAAAAAAAATGAAATTCTGAAAGTAAAATTAACTTGTCATCAAAAATAAATTTATAAAATTATTAGATTTTTGAGATTCAGTCATGAAGTTGACTAACCATTGATATAATAATGAAATATCTTTATTAAATTATTAAAGCTATGCGTATAGTCATTCCGTACAAGCACTCATCACATAAAAGAAATAAGAAAAAAAAAATCTATCAACTATGCAATGAAAAAAAAGTTTATTATATTTTCCATTATTAAAAAAATTACTATCTTCATTACTATGCATAATCTATAGTATCACTACAATGCTTTAAATCTGTGTACACTGATCAATTTTAGATTTTTATTGTTCGCTAATTAAAAATATAAATATTACAATATATATATCCGTTGAATAGCAACAGTTAAAGATCTATTGAAATAATTATAAAAATGCAACTTAGAATATTTATATAATTAGTTATTATAAATGTGTATTTATATTGTGTTAATCCAAAGAAAGTGTTCTGCTTAAAATGGCCTATACATTCTAGGGTTTAAAGAAATCAGTTAATTAAATTATATGTGTTGTTAAAGAAATTAATAATTGTTTCAATATAGATCAAATTACGCGATCACTCTATATAATAAACTTATCACAATAATATAATGATAATAATATTAAAATACAAATAATTACAATGATAATAAAATGAATAATACACTATAACAACTATAATTCAATTTACCTCCTGTCTAATTTTATTTTGCTTTTTGTGGGATTCGGGATTTATATTAGGATATATGTAGTTCTTAAACATGTAGAAAAATATTAATTAATGCTACAAATATTGATGTTTAATTGATTATTATTTTATATAAAACTTGGAATAACTATGTAAATATAATCATAATCTTTAGTGCATTTTTTATTAACTTATTCTACATACACACACACACAAACATGTTATCCATGTACATGTATTATATATATATATATTTATGTATGTGTGTATACATATATATGTATGTATAACATTGTATGATGATAAAGTTTACACATGAATCGGAAAAATTGCTAATTAGGAAACGAAAACGTCGTGAAATATTTATTAATTTTATTTTTTTTAGGTATTTTCATTAAACTAAATACTGTTTTTTCTTCAATTCATAATAATAATAATAATAATAATTATTATTATTATTATTATTATGAATTGAAGAAAAAACAGTATTTAGTTTAATGAAAATACCTAAAAAAAATAAAATTAATAAATATTTCACGACGTTTTCGTTTCCTAATTAGCAATTTTTCCGATTCATGTGTAAACTTTATCATCATACAATGTTATACATACATATATATGTATACACACATACATAAATATATATATATATAATACATGTACATGGATAACATGTTTGTGTGTGTGTGTATGTAGAATAAGTTAATAAAAAATGCACTAAAGATTATGATTATATTTACATAGTTATTCCAAGTTTTATATAAAATAATAATCAATTAAACATCAATATTTGTAGCATTAATTAATATTTTTCTACATGTTTAAGAACTACATATATCCTAATATAAATCCCGAATCCCACAAAAAGCAAAATAAAATTAGACAGGAGGTAAATTGAATTATAGTTGTTATAGTGTATTATTCATTTTATTATCATTGTAATTATTTGTATTTTAATATTATTATCATTATATTATTGTGATAAGTTTATTATATAGAGTGATCGCGTAATTTGATCTATATTGAAACAATTATTAATTTCTTTAACAACACATATAATTTAATTAACTGATTTCTTTAAACCCTAGAATGTATAGGCCATTTTAAGCAGAACACTTTCTTTGGATTAACACAATATAAATACACATTTATAATAACTAATTATATAAATATTCTAAGTTGCATTTTTATAATTATTTCAATAGATCTTTAACTGTTGCTATTCAACGGATATATATATTGTAATATTTATATTTTTAATTAGCGAACAATAAAAATCTAAAATTGATCAGTGTACACAGATTTAAAGCATTGTAGTGATACTATAGATTATGCATAGTAATGAAGATAGTAATTTTTTTAATAATGGAAAATATAATAAACTTTTTTTTCATTGCATAGTTGATAGATTTTTTTTTTCTTATTTCTTTTATGTGATGAGTGCTTGTACGGAATGACTATACGCATAGCTTTAATAATTTAATAAAGATATTTCATTATTATATCAATGGTTAGTCAACTTCATGACTGAATCTCAAAAATCTAATAATTTTATAAATTTATTTTTGATGACAAGTTAATTTTACTTTCAGAATTTCATTTTTTTTTTTTTACTATTTCTGATTCTGAAAATTAAAAGCTTCTATTTTTTGATTTTTGGTGAAAAAAAGGTGGTCAGGATATAGAAAATTTTAGAATAATTTAAATTGTAAAATTTGATTAATTTGATAGATATTATAATTTTTTTATCTAACAATATTGCATTCGCGCTCATCATTTTTACCTATTTTTAATCTATAAATTTAAATAATTCATTTTATTTTATGATTACTTAAGTTTTTTTTCTTCTCCTTTATATGCAAAAAAATATTTAAATAATTAATAAGAACACAAAAATATAAATAACAATTATTAATTTTTATACAATCATCACGTCCATGACTAATATAAAATAAAAGTTAGAATTATTGGACGTGACTGAAATATATGATATATTTATATATATTTTTTTTATTATTATTATTTAACTTTTGTCTATTGCTTATGATAAGAATTACTATTTATTGTTGAACATATACTATTACTATTAATCTCAAGTGGTATTAGTAATATTAATAAATAAATATTTAAAGTATCTCATGCAGGCACTTGACACATTTGTTGAAAATCCAATCAATTTTTTCATTTCCAATTTTTTACGTCCTCCAGAATACATTAAAAATAAATAAAAAATTGTATTAATATTACTGATTCCACTAAAATTATTAGTACACAATATGTAATCCATGTCATCATGAAGTTGTAGATGAAATCAGTCAATTAGATTTAGATGTGGACTTTACTTAAATCCGATAGAAAAGATTTTGGTGTGATAACATGAGATGATCCTGAAAAAAGTCGATAAATAATTAAAATTTACTAATAATATAAGATAAAAAAATACACAATTTGACTAATCTTACCAATTATGACTTCCCAATTTTTCATAGCATTCGTTACTTCGTATGCACATCGAATTTCTGAAAAACATACTCCACCAACGATAAAGACTATTAAACGTGGTACATTTTTAATAGTCTGCTGTCCTTTATCTTTATGCCAGTGCCCATAACGTGCGCTAGAATATTATAATTAATATTTTTACATATCGCGTTACAAATGCCATAAGGGCGTATACAAATTATACGCCCTCATGGCACCCGAGAACCACAAGGGCGTATAATAGAAATTCTATTTTTTTTTAAGTCCAAAAAAAATTTTTTTATTCGTCCTTATGGCTCCCGGGACCCACGTCAGATGTCATGAGGGCGTATAAAAAATTTTTTAATGAAATGTGCAGAAATGCAAAAAAAATTTTTTCGAAACTAAAAATTTTTTTGGTCTTAAAAAAAAAAATAGAATTTTTATTATACGCCCTTATGGCATCTGAGGTAGTTCCCGGAAGCCATAAGGGTGTATAAAATTTTTAATTTCTCGCTAAGAAAATTGAAAATTTTCAAAAATCGGGAAGTTATTGGTTTTCCTCGTTTTAAAAAAATCGAGTTTTCATCAGATCTCGACGTTTTAAGGTCATAGGAAGCTTCCCTGACTCTTCCCGTGATGGTGTCTGTGCAGCTGTGTGTGTGTGTGTGTGTGTAAACTTCTCATAACTTTTGAACGGCTCGGCCGATCGGATCGAAATAGGTAGCGATCCAAAAAGTATCATTACCATTAAATTTCGTAAAAATTTGAATTGATTCGGTTTTCCATTTCCATTTTTGCACATTTCGGTCGAAACTACATCGATTCCCGAAAAAAAATTTTTTATACGCCCTTATGACTTTTTACCGGGACCTTTTGCCAATTGATGCCCTTATGGCATCTGGAACGCGATATTATATAAACATAATCAATAATAATAATCATTATAAAAACCAACTCTACCTCGTCGGAGCATGATATCCAGAACTAACAGCACGCCCGGCTAAAAATGGAAAATGTTTAGTATCTAATCTATCTTCAATAGAATCCTCCATAATATCTTTAACAATTGGTGTCCAACGACTCATTTGGTAGGTTTGTTCAGTAATCCTTTCTTTTCGCGGAACTGTGTATGGTTTACGTCCTTTACCCTATGGGATAAAATGTAAATATAAATTTTAATGAATGTAGTAATTATTAATAAATATTTTTTACAACTGTTTTGCACATACGTCAACATTGATGCCTAAGCTTGCCATATTCATAATGGTTTGTTTATCGTCTGTCGATACTTGAGCATGATGAACTAAACGATTGAGATTTTCTTCATTAATTCCATTTTTACTTAATACATATAGGGCAATAATACGCAATTTATCGAGATTGTTAACTGTTTGATCTAATAAAACTGGAGTAATGTTGCGCATTTGATCTTTGATACGCTCGCCTTCAGCATCAGTACCCATAGCCAAATCCTTTTAGTAATATATTTATTAAATTAACACTTTTTTTTTTTTTTTTACAAAAAATGAAAAACAGTTTTTTCTTACCTGTTCAACCTTACAAAGTTTGTCTACATTTCCCTGATAACGTTTCATGCAATCTTCAGCCAAATGTAAATGAGTAGCATATTTACTCAATTCTTTCTGATATTGAGGCATTTTTTTAATCATTTGCGAAAGATCTCTCATACTTTGTTTATCTCCTTGCGGCATTCTTTTTGATTCTGTAAATTTCTTAAGATTCTTTGTGACATTTCTAAAAAAAAAATATTCATAAAATATTAATTAATAAAAATAATTATAATACAAATTGTTCATATATAAACTGTATACTATGTAAACAAAAAATGTTTAATAATTTTCACACTTACTGAGATACAACAGCAATATGTTGATGCCTCAATTCTACCCACAATTCATCATTTTCGTCAAGCAAAACTTCTTTTTCACCCTGACCTGCCGACGCCTCATAGCTGTAAAAAAATAATTAAAAAATAGTAAATGAATTTTATATATGGGGCATTTCATGCCAAATCACCGAGGTTTTGACCCGACCCCCTTCGATTTCGCTGAAACTTTTTTATCATTTTCTATCCTACCAAAGACATTTTTCTGAATTTTTTCAGATTTTTTTACCCAACCCAAAAAAAGTTACGAATTTTTGATAAAAACTGCTCTTGTTTTTTCAAATTGCTATAACTTTTTCACAAATTGACCTTTCGGCACTTTTTTTTTTTTTTTAATTTTTGTTTTTAAATGTAATTTTCAGAAAAAAATACAAAAAATTTTTCGAAAAAAATTGAGAATCGAAGTTCTCAGACTTCGAAAAAATGACAGTTTTGTTGAAAAAACTGAAATATTTGATATATCGTGACTTTCGAAAAATTTTTTTGTATTTTTTTCTAAATTGAAAAAAAAAAAAAAAGTGCCGAAAGGTCAATTTGTGAAAAAGTTATAGCAATTTAAAAAAAAAAAAGAGCGGTTTTTTTTTTAAATTCGTAACTTTTTTTGGGTTGGTTAAAAAAATCTGAAAAAATTCAGAAAAATGTCTTTGGTAGGATAGAAAATGATAAAAAAGTTTCAGCAAAATCGAAGGGGATCGGGTAGGGTCAAAACCTCGGTGATTTGGCATGAAATGCCCCATATAAATCATAATTTCATAATAAAGGAGAATAGTTACCTGTAAACATCATTTTCAATGTCAAGTAAATCATACGCCATAGCTTGGAGTGTAAGTTCATGCAATAGAGGCGAAACGCAGTCGAATCCACGATCAAGAATTAATAATTGCGAGCGTGATTTTTCCGGACCTTCACCCATTGTTGGTTCATCGGCTTTATAAGCATCTAATTTTTGCTGTACCATTTGTGCGAGTTCCACATTACGATCAAAATCGCTATTACAATTATTAAAAATTTAATATTTAGTTGCTTAGTTTTTTTTATAAATATATGGAAGTAAAATTTTTAATGAACAATTAATTACCTTCGATATCTTACTGATGGATATTCACCAAGAGTAGCACAAAGTGTTGCTATTTGTTCAGCACTGCGTTCCATATTTGCATTTCGAGCATTTATAAATGATGGATTGTAAAAGCATTGAAACGTTTCACGTGAATCCAGAGAAAAAACCTGAGTGTATATTAATGTTAAAATTAATTTGTTTATTTAGTCGCTTGGTTCTACTATAAATGCCAAGCTAATGTATTATTATATTGATATTTTGAGCAATAAGCAATAATTTGTCACATAAATTTTATGCAAAGCTAATTAATATGCATAGAGAAGCCACAAGTTAATATTTTTTTTTGCGATTTTAGCCAATAAGAAAAAACAATGATAAAGAAAGTGAAAAGTTATTTTGAGTGAATAAAATACGGTATATTTAATATAATTTGGATGGATTTATTTGTTTGAACAGTTTTATTTCACCTGAGACTCATACGGAAGAAATGCAATGTTGATCTCTTTGAGAGTTTTTATCTTTCTAGCGGCGAGAGACTTGCAGAGTTCATTGAAGAGCTCCTCTGGACACACTGGATGAGTGCAAGCATTAATGCATTTTGAAAAATTGTTAGTTCGTGCGATGGGTAAAATCAATACACGTGTAATACATTTAATTGCAGAATAATGTCGTTTTGAGAAGAAAAAAAAAAACATTTATTTTCGTCATTTCGAATCGTAAAGTTGTAGGGATGAAGATAAAGAGAGTGTAAGAACAAAAAGAAAGAAGGAAATTAAAAAAAAAACAATTTATCAGCTTGATAAAAGACAAAAATTTCACCCGCAAATCAAATTTAAAAAAAAAATAAAAAAAAAATATTTTTACCTGCTCTTCATACGGTATAAATGCTATGTTGATTTCCTTTAAAGTTCTAATGTATTTTTTTACCATCGTTTGGCGTAAATTGTTAAATAAATCATCAGGACATGCTGTGAAAAAATATTAACTAAAAATTGATGTAAAAAATAAAAACATAATAAAACTCAAAACACTCTTTAAAAAAATAAAAAAAAAAAAATGTATAAATTAAACGCTATTATTGTGCCGTTGTAAATTTATTGATATTAATATTTATATTAGATTTAGTTAAAAGATTTGGTTATAATTAATTGATAGGAGAAACGATAATTAGACTTTACCTTCAGTGAAATATACATGGGCAGCTTTATAAATAGTTCTAGATGGATTACTGAAGTCATCAATAAGTTTTTGCACCGAGCCGTTGCAAGGAGTAATAAGATAAATAGCTTCCATTGATGGTAAAGGCTCTCGTTTCTTATTGATATCTTCTACTAATGTAATTCCTTGAGCACTTATATCATGCATTTTGCAGCATGCTGATACCATTCTCATGGCTAATTGATCTACGACGAGGATTCTCCATTCAACATTAGCACCAGCACCAGCAGCAGCACCACCACCGCCACCAGCAGAAGCTTTTTTGTTCATCTTCTGCTTGATAACTTCATTCATAATTTCTATAAATAAAAATTACAAATTAGTAATTATTCATGAAAAAAAAAAAAAAATAAATATATTTATAATTTACAACAATTATGTAGTACTCATGTAATAAAAAAATATAAAAATAATTGTTTGATTAAATCATTTTGTATTATTTTTTTATTAGATAATAAAAGTAAAAAAAAAAGTATGTTTAAAATAATCTATCGTAACAGCGTCAAAAGAAAAAAAATTAAATCTCTGTTTACTGAAGTCGCCAACAGTTATGATGATTACTTCCAGTAACTGTAAATATTTTGTTTAATGATGTTCAGTTTTTCACAGTTCTGTAAATAAACTTTAATAGCTCTAACTATTTTGAGTGATAATTTCCTTTTGTTAGAAAGAATCTATATTTAAAAAAATATAAAACTACATAACTTGTTTGTTATTGAAACATATTTCAAAATTTTTATAGCTCTTTAATTTATTCATTGAGGTATTAATGTTTAATCTCAGTTAAAAAAATTGTTTTCATATTCACTGGCTTATTGTAGATGTTTAAATTAATACGAGATTTAAATAATCCCTGCATTGTGTTCAACTGCGAGGTATTATTGAACAATTTATTCTTAATACCGCATAGTACAAATTTAACGATAACTGTCTCCTGTTATGTTGTTATGTGCAATAAAACAATGCAGCTTTGAAAGTAATAATACATAACCAGTGATATGTAATTTCTATGAGAATATAAAATCTAACCATGAACTGAATTACGAAGATATAATTATTAATTACATAAATATAATTATTCAATTATAGTAATCGAATTTTATCACTATGGAAATACTACACCCAATTAAAGGTATCTACAATTTTCTACTTTCAATATATTGAGATAACAATTTCGATGTTTCAATGAAGGATGACCTATTTTAACAATCTGCCTGATGTCATTTTATCTATTATAATTTTTTTTTTTACATATCATATGAATCTATTCTCAATTATAGCATCGGTTCAGATTTCTACCGTTACGTGATACGATATTGTAATTAAATATATATATCGGTATTGATTTAATTAAAAAAAGAAAGTTTTAATAAAATTTAAAAAAGTAGAAAAATCATTTCATATCAAATCACCTAGTTTTAAAAATTTTTTTATACAGCTAATTTTTTATACGTTTTTTTATGTATCAAAAGAAACTTGCCTGAAAATTTTTAGTTCTTGATCTTTTAAAATTTGTACATTTAGAATTTTTTTTTATTTTCAAAAAAGCAGCGGTATGATGGATTTAAAAAATTCTAAACTTTTGATTGAGTTTCAATGTTTTTTTTTTCTTTTTTTTTAACTTAAGTTCTTTCGAAATCGAAAAAAAGTTAAGAAAAGTTTTATTTTTACAAAAAATCGAGGAAGTTGAGTACTTGTTATGTTTCATACTATAAAATGTTTTGTTTTTTCTTCCTTTTTCTTTACTCAACTGAATTTCAGGATTATAAAAATAACCCTTATTACTTTTAAATTAGATTAAAACAATCAAAAGTTATGAACGTTCAAAACTTATATAATATCACTCTTCTTAAGAAATTCTAAAAATTGAACGTGTACAAACTTCTTAAATTTAAGAAAAGTTGCCGAAAAAAAAATATATTTGTTTAGAACAGGTATGTAGTACCCAGTCGACTCTTTATTAAGTAATAAATAATAAAAGACATACTACGTTTTTAGTAAAAAATTCATCAATAAAAATTATATTTTTCTATCTTAAAATCTTTCATTACAAATTAAAATTTAAATATTATTTAACTCTTTAAATTACTTCAAATATTACTCAAAGCTACTTTCTACGATGGACATCATTTCAATTATAATTATATTAGAAGTTAAGGATTCCAGGCAATCATTATTTCCCTTAACTAATAGTAGTAATTGTATTGTATTGGTAAAATTATAAAAAAAGATATCCACTTATGTTGATCAACTGATATTTGAATAAAAAAAAAAAATGTTAAATTGTTATATTAAGAAAAAAACAAATTAAAAATTTTATTAAAAACAAAACGTTTTCAAATTTCATGAGTGTGAAAGAAGCAAGCAGCTAATTCAAAAAATTTTCAAGTAACTCTTAAATTAATCATTGAAGAAATATTTTTAAAAATTACACAGAAAGATTATTAAGGTGGTATTCTGGTCTAGAAGCCTAAATTTTAGGCTTTTTTCAAACTAACATAAAAAAAAAATGAAAAACATTTTTATTATCCGTTTTTTTATATGATGTTTATTGACATTTCAAGAATATAAAAAAAAATCGTAAAAAAAAAAATGATAAATTTGACAAATTACAAGCCGGTGAAGTGGGGGCTACAGAAAAACGGTGCACTCTGGTTGACATGCCAGCCCTTGCAGTGGTATGAAACAAAAAAAATTGAAAAATTCTCAATCTGTAAAGATGTCGCTATCGCGTTGACCTTAACCAAAAAAAAAAAAAAAAAATTTACAAAATGGCGTCGACATAAAATATCAATTTTTTTTTACCCCTTTTTTTTGACCTTTTCGAATTTTTTAAAAATACTCCAAATTAAAATTTTTTAAAATCTAAGACAGACGCGATAGAGAGATATATAAAGCAAATTTCCACCAAATTTCAAAGGAATCGGTGGGGTAGAACTTGAGATATCATGTCAACCACTTTAAAAAAGTAGTTTTGAGAAAATCGCGTTTAAAGTTTGAAAAACAATTTCAGTAAAATATCTCATAATAATATTTAATATTTACTTTGGATTAATCGCGAATCCCAGATCCACCAATTGGGCCTTCTTCTACTTCCTACTCGATGTTTTACGAAGTTCTTTCTGCTAATCGAGCTATGCTGCCTTCTTTTGAAGAAGCAGAAGCTCGCAGAAGCAGAAGCAGCTGCGTAACAAAATCCACTGTATCTCCGAAAATAATTCGAATTTTGAAAAATCCACTTAAGGACATATTTTTAAGGGTCTAAACTTTGTAAATATGCAAAAAAAAAAAATTCGAATTTTTCAAATTTCTAGACCAGAATACTCCCTTAATTTCAAATTTTCAAGTTCATTTTTTTATATTATTTTTTTTCGAAACAAGTAAATTATTTATAAATTAAAAAAAATTTTTTCAACGTCTGCTACAATCATACTCATAAAAATTTTCCAAAAAAGCATGAAAAATAAAAAATTTTCTTTATTATTAAAAAACAATATAATTACATGATTTATAACAAATTTTGATTTGTTATCTACATTAATTTATAAAAAAAAATTTATGAAATAAAAAATGGTGAGATTTAATTAAAAGTAAAATAAAAATAATGTACAGATTAGTTAGATAAATTGCTGTAATCTGTAACATTAAATCTTTCGGTACCCATCTATTCAAGTATTGATCGGTCTTTAAAGTTAGTGACGTCACACAGTCACGTATACTTGTGAAATAGTACCCTTATAATTAAATATCTATACATGCAATATTAATAAAATTGAATAATTAATAATTAAGATTTCTAATTTCTCAATAATTTGAAGTAATGTTTTAAAGTCCCTATAATCAACATAAAATTATTTTACTCATAAATTACGAATTAGATTAGTATTATGTCAAGTCCACGTGTATAATCTAAAAATAGAATTGTCACGGATTATATCAAGAACACTAGGTTAATTATCAATTGAATTTTATTATCATTAAAAAATCAATGTTATGATTCATCACTGTTGATATAGTAAGTATCATATACAAACAATTAAACGTCAAAGTGAAATTAAAAATAAATAATTGTGATAAATTAAAATAATTTATGATGTAAATTTATAAGCCTACTGAATAATCAGTGAATGGTTTATTTGATATAAATTTTATGGACTGACAAAAATACTAAATAGTTTGACATTTATGAGTATGCTCAATTGCGTGATGAAATCATCTTGACCAAGACGTACGCCCAATAAAACATTAATATTATACGTATTTGAGGTTATTATAAATAACTATTACTATTTATAGTAAAGTATTATTCAAACAATCTATGTGCAATGACAAATTACACTTATTTTGTTGCGATAAATAATAAATTTCATTTTTTTAGGGTACTCACTTTGACCGACTTGTGCTTTGAGCGCCATTTTGACAGAACTGAAACTCTCGCCAGAGAAATCCCACACAGGTGGCGTCTATTTCATAATACCTATATATACTTACATGTTTCATACTTTTTTATTATTTAGTTTTTTATTGATATCCTATAATTATAAAATATTTGCAAAAAATATTGGGTTTTCTTCTCTATCGTATTAATTTCTATTTAGTAATAATTTTATTAAAACAAATTTATTACTTGCATAAATCATTTTATACATTTTTTTTTTTAAATACAAATTGTATTATTTTATGATACTGAGATTATAACAAAGAATTATTTACCCATTACTTGATTTTATTAAAAATTAAAACAATACTGAGAAAATATTTTCATAAAAAATAAAATTCATAGTTTTTCTCAATTTTTGACGTGAAAAATGATTTTTTTGATAACTTATTTGTTTAATTTTTTAAAATAGATAATGAATTCTAAAAAGAATAAGTATTTATAAAAATTTGCACTTACAGTTCTTTCAATCTTGTAAGTATATTTTTTTCATAGTGAACTATTTGTTAGGGAAAATCAGGGAATTGATAGATCATTCAATACTATTTTACAAAAATTGAAAAAATAATAAAAATTATATTTTTTTCATGCGTATATACATACACAACGTTGTGATGTTCGTTCTTTTTATTGTAATAAAAATTTATGTCTATGCATCAATATTCAAAATTAATAAAATTGAAATTAGCAAACATGTAAAAATTTTTTAGTTTTTTTAAATCATAAGTTACTAGTTAAAAAAAACATTTTAAAAAATTGCATCAATAATTTTCATTAATTTTAACATTACCAAAATAACAATTTAGAATGAAAATGAAGTTAGCCGACATTTCAAAATTTTTAGAAATTTTGTATTGAAAAAA